GGGGGCCTCCTCGGCCTTGGCCCCCCCCCCCCCGCCCAAAGCCCTTCACCACTCCTCGTGTCTCTGCAGCCTGTTTGGTGGCTCGGACTACAAGCTGATCTACCGCCACTATGCCACGCTGTACTTCGTCTTCTGCGTGGACTCCTCAGAGAGTGAGCTGGGCATCCTGGACCTCATCCAGGTCAGTCTCTCTGCAGTCAGGTTTGTTGCCCGAGGGCAGCCGCTCTGCTCAGCCCCGGGTGGCCGGCGGGTACCTTCCCCCGAGGCACAGTCCTTGCCGGGTGGCCCGGCCCCGACACCTTTCAGGTCCGCTTCGTGTCTGTGGCATCCCTATGCTGGCCCTTTTGGAAGTGAATGAAAAGCTGTTCAGGGGCTGCGATGGGGAGGGGTTGCTGCATGTGTGTTAGCTGATACACAGCTCCTCTGCATGGAAGTAGTGGGGGAAGTGAATCCGAATGAATTTCTTTAAAAAATAGAATCATAGAATCGTTTAGGTTGGAAAAGACCCTTAAGATCATCGAGTCCAACTGTTAACCTAGCACTGCCAAGTCCACCACTAAATCATGTCCCTAAGCACCACATCTACATGTCTTTTAAATACCTCCAGGGATGGTGACTCCACCACTTCCCCAGGCAGCCTGTTCCAATGCTTGACAACCCTTTCCGTGAATAAATTTTGCCTAATATCCAATCTAAACCTCTCCTGGTGCAACCTGAGGCCATTTCCTCTCGTCCTATCGCTTGTTACTTGGGAGAAGAGACCGACACCCACCTCGCTACAACCTCCTTTCAGATAGCTGTAGGCCTCCTTTCAAGTAGTTGTAGCATGGAATTTGGGGGTAGCAGGATGGCAGGTTGACGTCTTTACTTGGCTTCTGCTAAGACCGTCAGAACTGGTTGTGAAAGGCTAAACATATTCTTCCCCTGGCTGAATATCACATCAGCACTCAACTTCTGACACATACAACTAGAAGGTACTGCTCAGTACTGGATTTATCATTTACAATCTTAACCATTTTGTTTTACCTATGTATTTCAAATTAGCTTATTTCCATATTCCATTCAAAATACTTAAAAAAATACATGAAATATTACCTCTGAAGTAGAAGAACCTGCACGATACTTCAGATAAAATTCACAAATCACCTCTGTATTAAACCACAAAGTGGTGCTTTTTGGTCTCTCCACTGAAATTTTCTCGTGCTGATAAAGCCAAACTACAAGAGCTTCCTGCATCACCTTAAAGTGCTGTTCCCTGTGTGGTTGCTTTTTCCACCATAAACACTCCTCGCTGGAAAGTCCTGTGTTTCGGTGCCCTTGACCTTGTGCCAGGCCCCTTGAGCTGGGGCTTGATCAGATCCCTGCAATGAGAGCTTCCAGGTGCACGGGCAGCACCAGCAGCGCCTTAAGGCAACAGCGAGTGGGTACACACCGCTGCTGCGAGACAGCCTGTCCGGGGCCGGAGGAGGAGCCCTCTGCGCTGCCCAGGTTGGACCTGCCATGCCCTCCCTCTGCAGCCGGCCCAGCAGGGCCAGGCTCTCGTTCCAGCCACAGGCCCCTTGCCAAGACAAGCTCTCTCCTAGGCAGGTCGGGGCTTCTTGACCTGATTTCTGTGGTGTAGTGAGGACTGGCAGTGGTGCCCATGTGGCAATCCCCCTACCCCATGCTGCCTCCGGCTGCTGCCACAGTGCTGGGGGTCCTGGTCAGCCCCCAGGCTGGACCTGCCTGCGGTTGCTCTGGGAACAGGCACTTTCCTACCATCGAAGGGAGATGGGGTTGTTGAGAGGGTTTTGTCCCCTCTCAGGGTGACACCTTGGGGTGAAACGAGTTTCTGGTCCGGGCTGCGGCTTTTTTGCCTGCAGGCCCTGGGGCTGTGTGCAGGAAGCATCTTGCAGTGCTCATCTGTACTGACCTTCCCTTCCTGCTACCTCAGGTGTTTGTGGAGACGCTGGACAAGTGCTTTGAAAATGTCTGTGAGCTGGACCTCATCTTCCACATGGACAAGGTGGGTTGTAGGCTCTGTGTGCTCCTCCGGGCCAGCGCCATCGTTCTCCCAGCCTTGCCCTCCCTAGAGCCTGCACTCACGTGGGCAGGAGCTGGCCCAGCCTTGAGCTCTGGAGCCTTTCAGGAGAGGCTGTTGGTACGTTAGGGGTCACTTTTTGGGGAGAGATTGAAATCCTGGGTGGGGAAGTTGTCAGCTTGGGGTCTTCTTAAGCCGCTCACAGTGTCCTCCAAGATATTCAAGTCGCTGGGCTCTGTTCTGAGTCCTCCATGGGTAAGCTGGCTTTTGGCTCCCAGTGCTCGCCCCCTTGCCAGTGGCATTTTACTGCGGCGGGGCTGTGCTCTCTGCTGCAGCACGACAGTGGGGATGTGTGTGGGCTGGTGACTGCCACCGACACTGGGTAACCGTGCGGTCAAGTGACAGAGATCTGCACTGAGGCTTCGCTCTTGGTCTTCTGCATGGGCGGGCGCCGGTGGAGCTGGGCAGGCTCTGGCATTGTGCAGGGGCATTTTGCCTCTTCTCGCTGTACTGTGGGACCCGTTGGGAGTCTTGTTAACATTTTACTAGAGCTGCAGGGAAAAAAAGGTAAGGAACAATGGGAGCGTTTGGAATACAAAGTGTTTGGTAAACTTTCGTTTGAGTCACAGCCTTTAATGCTTCCTCTTTAGCTGGACAGAGTTTCTGGGTGGAAACCTGTCCTCTTTGATCTTCTCATAGATGGGGCTGAAGATAGCTGGGACTATGCTTAGAGAAAGGAGAGGCTTAGCTGACGTGTGCTGGACTTGTGTTGCTGTTGATAAGGATTTTCTTGCTTTGTTGAAAACAAAGAAGAGGAATGGAAATAAATCAATAAGGCTGTAAAATGTTCCCTTTCTGTTGGCAATTCCAACTTATGAACTCTGGCAGAGGAATGGTGTTAGCAAATCTTCTCAGAAGGCGATATGGATCAGCTGAATGTATTAGAAACTAGTGAAGTAAGACTTTGATTTCATAATTTGCCTGGCTGTAGACTTTTAGAAATGTTACAAGGTTGATTATCTCGTCAGCAAAAGTGTTCTTATCAAAGCAAGCAAAAGGGGAGGAAGGAGGAAGTCAGAAGGAAGGAGGAGTACTTGCGGGAGAAGTGACGGCAGCCACCCAGATCACCTCTGGCCACATCTGGGGGAGGATGCACTCTCAGTTACTTATTTTGTGGTGTGACCAAGACCCGGCAGCTTTACACTCAATCCGCAGCCCACAGGCAGAAGAGATTACCCTGTTGCTTGTCTGTTTTGCCAGCAGTAGCATGCATTGCCCTTCCTCTGAACTCTCCTGCCAGGCAAAGGGTTCAAAGGAGACGGGACCTGGGAGGGTTTCTGATAGGGGAGGCCCTGGGCTTGGTCACCCCGAGGCTCCCCTACCAGTCAGGCTTGTTTACTTCCCGTCCTGTGCTCCCGCTGCTTCCCAGCCTTGACTTCAGTCCTTGGCCACTATCAGTTTGTCCTCTCATCTTTCTTTCTACATTTGGCATGTATTTATTTCTCAGATGTGTTCATGTTGAGTGCCCATGCTTCCAAGAGCTTGGTTACAGACAGGCGGCGTTAGGGGTGCTGGGAATACACAGGTGTGTCCTGCTGGTCCCCAGGTCTTGCCCCTCGGATGCCCGGGCAGGGCTTTCCGTGGCTGTGATGCTGCCCCAGCGCTCCCACGGAGCCCTGCCTCCAGGACTTTAGTTTGTCAAGAGCCGTGCAGGGCACGGTGCTACCCTCCGCTCTGGCAGATGGATTGCAGAGTTCGTGAGTTCCCGACTAGGACAGGAGAAATGAGGCCAATGTCAACGGGAAAGCACTGATTTGTCGAGTAGAGGCTTCGGCTGTGAACATCCCCAACCCAGCAGGCTCTGGCTGGGATTTGGGTGCAGCCTTGTCTGGGTCCTGTGATTTTCTGTTACTGCCTTAAGATACACCTTACACTCTGTATGCAGTGCAGGGTCTGTGAAATGAGAGCTGCTGCGGGTTTCGGGTCCCCACTCTTGCAGCGGGCAGCTGGATGGGGCTGTTGTGGTTCTCGGGCACCAGTGACACCAGTGCTTTTAGGCTTCCAGCTTTGGAAGCAGCAACCTCAGAGCTGCAGGGATCCCTCTTTTGCAAGGGGAGACTGGAGCCACGAAGCTGTGGGGAGGATCAGGGGAGGCTGTTGCCCAGCCCCTGGTCGTGCTTCGTACCCTGGAGGAGAACGTGAGTTTTGCTAAGCAGCTGTGAGGTCCTGGAGAGGACACGGTTTGTTCAGGAAGTGCTGTGTTTCGGTTTGAAAAACAAAGCTTGCTTGGGATTTCTGCCCTGCTGGTTTTGGTCCAACTTGGGCTGAAGCCAGATCTTGAAGGAACAACATTTCCTGCAGCCCAGATGCTCTCCTGTTGTGGGGAGCTGCTAGCACCATCTAGTGCGGTGTTTGCCGGGGCTGGGCTGATCTGAGGCTGTGCTGCGGGACAGCGGTTCCTGCGCTGCGGGTGTCCCGGGAAGGTGGTGTATCACCCGTGGCTCGCCCTGTGCAGTGCTGATCCTGCACACCTTGCTGCTCCTGGTGCTGTCGGAGCAGGATGGGACCCGTGGGGAGCCCTGCAGGGCATCAGGCTTGCTGTTTGCACAAAGCTGGGTTTCCCTCTTCTAGCAGGTTCTCCAGCTTGCGTTATTTTTCATAGCATTGTCCTGGCAGTATTTGCCACACAGTGTTTACAAGTGCAAGCTGCCATCGTGAAGCCATAAAACGATGTAACAACCATCTTCCAGTAATAGCCTATTTCACGTAAGTAACCAGAGACCCATAAATTCATATCTGTGCTGGGTGGTTGTTGGGAGCTGCTGACTTAGCAAGGAAGGCTGGGCTGTGCAGGGCGGTGGAGCCAAAGGTGCTGTCACAGGTCACGGCTGCCCGGCAGGGCCCAGCTGCTGCCCTGGGGCTGTTTGTGTTTTCTTGGATTGCAAACCACAACGGGCGCTTTCTCCTGCTGTGGCTGCGAGGTACTGCCGGTGCTCTTCGGCGGGGGCTGGCAGGAGGGAGCAGCTCACTGCCTTGAGACTGCTCTGTTTCATCCTTGGACCCCGGGCGGACCCTGGGGAAGGGAGCAGACTCTCTTAGCAGTTTTGTGCTTTTTATGTGCATGTGTCACAGTCTTGTCTTTCCTAAGAGAAAGCAAAGAAGATGGGCTCTGGCCTGGCTTTCTGGGTAGAAGAAACTGGTTCTGGGAAGAAGTGTCCTGCCAGGTGGCTCCAGGAGGCCCTGGGGTCTCTGCTGCCCTGTGGGCTCCTCTGCAGCACGCTTTCTAGGCAGGGAGCTGTTCCCAGGTGTGACCTGGGTCCTGGCCCAGGGAGGGATCAAACTTCAGAGATGGCACAGCCAGGGGGTGCCAGCGGGCCGGGTCAGGCCTGGCCCTCTAGGGTCTGCCCTGTGCCTGGTGGTCCAGTGGGCGACGTTTGCTCTGGCCTCTGTGGTAGGTGTCCTCTAGAGCAGAGGTACAACCAGTAAATGGGGCTGCTGGACTCCCCCTGTGGTGAGGACCATGGCCACCCTCTTGCTGTCCAGGCAGCCGGCTGCCAGGACTGTGTGGGCTGAGGGGAGGATGGGGCTGGATTTGTGCCTCTCGGGGAAATGCCAGTCCCCGACGCGCTTCCTCACCAGCCTGCAGGCACTGCTGCTGCTCCCAGCCTTCCCTTCCCTTCCCTTGCAGGTTCACCACATCTTGCAGGAGGTGGTGATAGGTGGCATGGTGCTGGAGACCAACATGAACGAGATCGTGGCGCAGGTGGAGGCCCAGAGCAAGCTGGAGAAGGCAGAGGTGAGTGGCGATGCTGCGGCTCTCCCCTGTGGGAGGCTGATGGACTCCAGGCTGCGAGGGGGGGCAGCCTGTGGCGTCTGGGGCTGGCGCATATGGGGTATCCCCAGTATCCGCGGTCTCTGCCTGCCTGAGTCCTCATGGAGAGGGCTGGGGCATCCCTCCCAGCTGTGCTCCATGCTGTTCAGGAGCATAGGGAGCAGCCCGAGCATGGAAATGGCTGTTCCCATCAAGGTTAATAACCTGAGGTAGTGAAGTTTATTGCCCCTGTTTGTGCTGTCATTGTGAACATGCAGCTGTGCTCTGGTCGCAGGGAAGCACCGCGCTGCCCCTGCCGCTCCTGATCCTGTGCTATTAATAGGACCGGGTCCGTCAGCGGGGTGGGAGGCGGGCGTGGGAGCTGCTCCCCGGGTGCACCCGTGCCGAG